TTTAGGGTTTAGGGTTTAGGGTTTAGGGTTTAGGGTTTAGGTTTTAGGGTTTAGGGTTTAGGGTTTAGGGTTTAGGGTTTAGGGTTTAGGGTTTAGTTTTCTGCGCAGGGCGTTAGCAGGTCTTCGCGGCCGGCAGCGCCCCGCGGCCCGTGCGTCTGCGAGCCAGAGCCGACGATGGACGAGTGTTTAGGGTTTTAGGGTTTTAGGGTTCAGGGTTTAGGGTTTAGGGTCTATGCAGTCTAGGGTTTAGGGTTTAGGGTTTGGGGAATGTTTTGGACTTCGGGTTTAGGGTTCAGGGTTTAGGGTTTGGGGTTTAGGGTTCAGGGTTTGGGGTTTAGGGTTTAGGGGTTCAGGGTTTAGGGTTTAGGGGTTAGGGGTTAGGGTTTAGGGTTTGAGGTTTTAGGGGTTAGGGGTTAGGGTTCAGGGTTTAGGGGGCCTTTAACTATCTTGATATCGGGTCCCTTATTATCAGCCCGAATAAGGAATATATAGAATATCCCAAAACGGTCCCAAAAGGCAACCTAGTAGGGTGTTTAGGGCTCAGGGTACAAGTGATGCACCCGCGCCAACATACTATAATCCATATCTCTCAGAGCCCCCAGCAGGACACAACCCTATTTTCCAGCTTAAGTGTCCGGGTAAGGGGGTTTCGGGCTCAAGGCTTACGGCTTGGGGGCTTCGGGCTTGGGTTTTGGGTTCGGGGCATAGTTTGGGGCTGCGGGAGTTTTGGAACTTACACTAGCGCTTAGATCGCTACAAGGTTTAGGGGCATAGGGGTTCTGCATAGGGTTGCAAGGCTGGATGTTCACTTCTGGGATCTGCTTGAAGGCGCATGGGTTAGTCTGAGCAGGGATAGAAGTAGCGTAACCCGTGTTGTAACCTGAAGTACAGACTACACACGAACCTGCAAAACCCTAGAACCCTAAACCCTCAACCCTAAACCCTAGACGACCCAATCAACTCAGAAGCTGGTCAATGCAGACGCGCTCGCAAGACGGGCGATCGTGCCGCGAGCGTACCCTGGCCGAAGTCCGATGGGCACGCGGGCCATTTCAACTGGGCGAGAACTGGCATCTGCAACCCGGATGCTGGTGGTTTACTGTAGGGTTTAGGGTTTAGGGCTTAGGGTTTAGGGTTAGGGTTTAAAGACATCGTAAGGGTTCGGGTCCCAAAAAAAGGTTTTGAGCGAGAGTGTTGAGAGAAACTCTTTTTCTAGAACCTATTAGTATTGTTTGGGGCCTTCATATAGGCAGAGCAAACCCTTAAGAAGAGGTCCTCAAGAGGCTTTGAAGAGGCTCAGGGAAGCCTTGGAACCCTCTCGACCCCCTTGAGAAAGGTAAGAACTTTTCCTTCTGAAGAGGTCCTCAAGAGCCTCAACTTTCTCAACCCCCGCTTGATTCACAAAGGTAGAAAAATTTCCTTCTGAAGAGGTCCTCAAGAGCGGGACAAGGGTCTCGGGGGGGGGGGCGGGGGGGTCGAACTGGACGGAAGGAAAGGGAAGCGGCATCGGGAAAAATGTCGAAAGTTTCGAGCGAAACGAAATGACCGAAACGTTTTGTTTGATATGTAATTTTCCCGTGAGTTCCCGGGAGAATATCGAAGGAATGTGGGAAAGCTTGTTTTACATCGACCGAGCTTTTGTTTGGGAATTAAGAACTTGCGGGGTGGGGAAGGCCCGAGATGTTCAAGTAAACTGAACATTTGGCTTCCCAGAGGTGTTCTGGAATAAAATTAATATACTTAAACTCGGCTTGTCAGCTGTTTAGACAAATAACTTGGAAAAATCAGAATGATACCACATACAGTTTCTATGTATTTTGTTTTTAGGGTGTAGGGATTGTTCAGGGTTCAGGGTTTAGGGTTAAAGGTTTAGGCTTCAGCAGAAAGGTGCATCTTCCCGTCTTTGGAGGATCTGCAAGCTTAGGCAAAGCCAAGAACAAACCCCAAACCCTAAACCTGGAACCCGGAACCCTGAACCCAAAACCCTAAACCCTAAACCCTAAACCCTAAGCCCTAAGCCCTAAACCCTAAACCCTAAACCCGGCCGGGGTCTTCAATGCTTTTCATCTCCTAGCTTTCCCTGTGCTCAAGTACCAACCAACCCTTGGTTGAGGCAAAGGATTCGAGCTTTTGGGCACGCTAAACCCGACGAAACTCCGCACAATACCATAGAAACCCTAAATCCTAAACCCTAAACCCTAAACCCTAAACCCTAAACACTACCCGCTCATGCCCTCGATGAGGACATCACGGCAACGCAGAACGGCCCGCGCGTGGCAGCCGCCCCCCGTGGGACGGACAGTGGAAAATCCCATGGCCGAGCTCACCCCTGACACCTCAAGCCTTAAACTGCTAAAACCCTTTAAGCCATGTTAGGCTTCGGGCTTTTTAGGGTTTTAAGGGTTTAGGGTTTACAGCTGTTAGGGTGGCTTGGGATGTTGGTAGGCTTAGGGGCTTAGGGGCTTAGGTTAGGGGCTTAGGGGCTTAGGGGCTTTGGGGCTCAGGGCCTGGCGCTTAGGGCTTGGGGCTTCGGACGTAGGGTGTAGAGCATAGGGCTTCGGTTTTCGGGCTTCGGGTTTGGGGCTTGGGGTTTGCTCAGGGCTTAGACTCCCTAATCTGGGAAGCCCTCCTCAGCGCACACAGGCCTCTTGCCCAACAGAGACAACTGCCTCCTCGTCGTCGGGCTGGTTGCTTGCATGGCGAAGAGCTGTGGCAGGGAGAAGGTTTTAAACCCTAAACCCTAAACCCTATACCCTAAACCCCAAGCTACACCCTAAACCCTAAGCCCTAAAACCCACCCGAAACCCCAAAACCCTACATCCTAGCAACCAAGCCGGGCTTCTGAAACAGAACTCGTCTGACATGTGTCTTAGGGTTTAGGGTTTAGGGTTTAGGGTTTAGGGTTTAGGGTTTAGGGTTTAGGGTTTAGGGTTTAGGGTTTAGGGTCTAGGGTCTAGGGTCTAGAGTCTAGAGTCTAGGGTTTAGTTTTTAAGGTTTAGGGTTTAGGGTTTAGGGCTTTCAGCTTAGAGGTTAGGGCTTCGGGTTCGGGCAGCAAGAAGGCAGAACCCAGATCCAACCCCCGGCAAACTCTAGATGAAATCTCGACCCCCTTGAGGCGAGCATCAGCTTCCTAAACCCTAAACCCTAAACCCTAAACCCTAAACCCTAAACCCTTGAGGTGAGCATCAGCAAAGCAATATAGCAAAAGTAATGACTCCTTCCTCCAGCAACCAGGTCAAGCCATCCGTCGTAGGATGCACCCACAGGGTTCGGGTCTGGGGGTTTAGGATTTAGGGTCTGAGGTATAGGGTTTAGGGTTCAGGGTCTAGGGTTTCGGGTTTAGGGTTTAGGGTTTGGGGTTTGGGGTTTAGGGTTTAGGGTTTAGGGTTGAGTCTAGAGTCCGGCGGTTTAGGATTGAGGGCATCAAGGTTTCAGTGTCTTGGGTTCAGGGTTATGCGCCTAGGGTTTAGGGTTCAGGTCCGGGGCTTCGGGTTTAAGAATTCGGAAGCTTGCCCAAAACCCTAAACCCTAAAACCTGCTTCTCCGTTCTGGCCGCGAGTGCGGAATGGCACGCCGAATGGCCTAAGGTCTTTCTCTGGCTTTGAGGGTAGAAGAAGATGCCCTCAACCCTGCCCTTAAACCTTACACCCTAAACCCTAAAACCTAAACCCTTCAACTCTGCATTAATATGGGGTCGGAATAGATACTAAGTTACTAATGGTATCTATCCCCGTATGGTCCCTATAGGATGATACTATAGGAGCCCCCAAAACCTTGTTCTCGCAATTACGGCCCCTAAACCCTAAACCCTAAACCCTAAACCCTAGACTACCGCACGGCTGGCAAGCAAAAAGGCTGCTGGAGAAGCCCAACTTCAGTTCGCACTTAGCAGCATCCGGAGGACTTCTTCTTCTTGCTCCTTGGCTTGAAACCACAGAAAGGGTTTAGGGTTTAGGGTTGAGAGTTTAGGGTTTAGGGTTTAGGGTTTACGGTTTAGGGTTTAGGGTTTAGGGTTTAGGGTTTAGGGCTGAGGGGGGTTGGGGGTAGGGTTGCGGGTTTAGGGCTTAGGGTTTAGAGTTCAGGGTTCAGGCGTTAGGGCTGAGCGGGGCTGGGGGTTAGGGATTCGGGCTTAGGGTTTAGGGCTCAGGGATTCAGGGCTTATTCGGGTATATGGCAAAGAACCTTGCAGGAAAGCTCCCTGCGCCACTTGGAGCGGTCATAGGGAGGGCTCATGCTACTTATTTAACCAATTATAACTGTACTTATAACCCACTTATGGGCCCCTGAAGTGCCCTAA